GGGCGGGGCCTCACGGTGTAGTAGCTGTCGTCGGCACCCAGCGCCTTGGAGAGGCCGAAGTCGCTGATCTTGGCGTAGTGCCGGTTGACCAGCAGGACGTTGCGGGCCGCCAGGTCGCGGTGCACGAAGTTCTTCTCCTCCAGGTACTTCATGCCCATGGACACCTGGTGCAGCAGCTCCGCCACGTTGCTGATGGGGATCTCCTCCCTGGGGGGGGCAAGGCGGGGCGAGCTGGGAGAAGACGGGCAGGGCGGCCGGAGCCCACTTCTGTGCACGGGCCCGCGGACCAGCTGCTCAACAGACGCCTGCTGGGCACCTACTCTGTGCCAGGCCCGGGGCCAGGGGCACAGCCACAAACAAGACAGGCCAAACCCCTGCCCTCATCCAGTCCCGAGGCCTTGGGGGCCTCCCCTGTGCTACCCTTCCCAGCCTCGATGTGCCCACAGAGGGTCTTGCAGACTCTGAGATGGCACAGCCTGCTTGTGCGTGCACACACATGCACCTGTGCCCAGCTGCCCACCCAGTCCTCTCCTCAATTCCAGCCTTCTATGGCTCAGCCCTCAGCTCCTTCCTCTCGGGCCCGATTCCTCAGCAAACCCTGGCAGTCCTGCCTTCAGGACCTTCCAAGAACCCTCTGCTTCTCCCCACCTCTGCTTCTGCCTCTGCCCTGCCGCAGACCCCCGGCCCACGGTCCCGGCCTCCCACCCCAATCAGGGCCTGCTCCGCCTCTGCTCACAGCCTGCCGGGTCCCCACCTCACTCAGGGTGAAAGTCCAAGTCCTCCTCGTGGCCCACAAGGCTCTGTCTGCGCCCCCCTGCCTGCCTCAGCCCCCTGCCCACCCTGGGCCCCTGCCTGGAATGCCCGTGTCCTAGTTTGTGCTTGACGTTCTCCCCCAGCTTGCTCAGCCTCACCTGCTCACTGTGCCTCCCCACCCTGGGACTCCCAAGCCCTGAGGTGCTGTGCGCCTGGTCTCCCAACACACTCAGCATCTGATCACGACGACCACTTATCCCCCCTTCTCTCAGGAGAACCCAGGGCAGGGCGTGTTGCTGCCCTCATTTGCTGATGAGACCCAAGTGCTCGTCATCATTCCTGTCACAGAAAAACTGCCCAGCACACACCTGCCAAGTGACTGAAGGTCGAGCAGGAGCAAGGGGGGAAGGAACGTGCACTAGGAGAGCGTGTGGATTAGCAAAAGCGTGCCTCGGTGAGCACAGAAACCCACATGAGAGTTTGGGGCAGAGGGAACGCAAATGGCATGGCAAAAGTTTCCGGTAAAGGGCCAGAGAGGACATATTTTAGTCTTTGTAGGCCCCACTGAACTTTGTAGCCTTCGTAACCCCTGTCACACACTGGTTTGTTTGCTTTTTGGTTTTGTTTTTCAACCCTTTAAAACGAAAAAAATCTTGACAATCCACAACGGGCAGTTTCCCAAGAGTCATGCATTTGGCCTAGAAGGGCCATGTATTTGGCCCTTGGGGAAACTGAGGCTTAGCGGCTCTGCCTTGCAAGCGGGCGTGCCAGCATGCAGGGAGGTGGAACGAGTGAGTTCACGGAGGTGGGAAGGCGAGTGTTCGCACTCATGAGTGGTGTCCACCCGTGTGTACACGTGGGAACACGCACGTGCACGTTCTCCGTGTGAGTGTGAGTCTACCCCGCCCCGGGTGGCCCCGGCGGGTGGACAGGATGAGTCCCCAGCCCCAGCCACCCCGCCAGCCCAGCCTCCCGGGGCTCACTTCTTTCCAACCAGGAACTTGTGCAGGGGCCCCCCGCCAGCCATCTCCATGACCAGCATGAGGGCCTCGGCCTGGCAGACGCTGATGAGTAGCACAATGTAGGGGTTGTCCAGCTGGTGCATGATCTGCACCTTACGCATCATCTCATCCTTGTCTGCCTTCTCCGTGCTCTGCTTCAGCACCTTGATGGCCACGTCAATCTGCTTCCTGCCCAAGGCGCAGGCCACAGGGAGGCACACGGGTGAGGTGGCGGGCAGTGCCCTGCTCACCCCATTCCCACCCCCCTGTCTCCTTCCCCGAGATGTGTGGTGGACTGGTGGACGTTGCAGCTGGCCACCCAGCTCAGGGTAAGTTTCTCAGTCCCCTCTGCCAAAGCACCCGCTGAGGACAGCTCACAACCCGGCCTCGCCGGGAACTGCCCAACACCAAAAAGGACCACCTGTCCAAAGTGACGCCCTCTGCCGGGGTAGCCTGGATCAGAGTCCATAGATGCAAGACCAGGGGTCCTTTTGCAGCTCCCCTGGGACAGGCAGCTGCAGCCCAGCCACCTCCCGGGCCTAGCCTGCGCCTCTTCCTCCCTCTCAAGTGTCCCCAAGCTCTTGAGGAATCCTACGGCCTGCACCGTCCTGTCCCGAGAGTCTGTTTCCAGGACAAACTGACAGGAGGCGGACAGACCTCCCCCGGCTCCACCCCACTGCCCGGCGAGGCTGCGTCCCCCAGCCCACTCACGGTGGCGACCCCTCCACGGCAGGGGCGGCCGTACTTGCGCATGCGGTAGACGCCCTGGCGCACGGAGCCAAAGTTGCCGCAGCCAAGTTCAATGTCAGCTATGAGGAGGTTCTCGCGCTTCAGGAAGAGCTTCTTGTCTTTGAGCTCCTCGGGGTCGCTGTAGGGGCTCTCGTACACGCTCGTATCCATGGGCATCGGCCGCTGTTTGTCTGGGGCCGTAGGGCGTGCTGGGCACACACACAGCCGGCACTCCCAGGTCAGGGGCAGGGAAGAGGGGGGTAGGGGAGGGTGCCCCACCTCCACCCGAGCATGCACAGACACATAGGTGCACATTGGGGTGTGTTGAGGCTCATGCACTTGCATACACTCCTGGTCACAGCTAGGGGCCCTCTGTGCTTCAGTATCCCTGTGTCACTGTTCGTGTGCCATCGGGGGTGTGCATGTGTGTGCACCTATTCCCAGGCCTTCCCGTGTCTACACATACACCAAGCAGCCATGTTTTCGAGGTCTCCAAAGGGGAGTATCAGGGGTGCATGTGTAACCACAGTTCTGCTCTGTGCACACGTGTGGACCGGTCGGCACCACATATGAAGCACGGAAGCACCCACAGGAAAGCACTTAGAAGGAGAGTTCTGCAGCCCGCCCACCTGGGTTCAGATCCCACCTCCACTATGGCCTCACTGTGGGACCTTAGCGGGTGACCTGCTCTCCCTCTCGCCTGAGAAATGAGAGCAGTTGCCACAACTGCATACAGCTTGTCCGGGGATTCAATGAGCTCAGACATTCAGCGACCTTGGAACGCAACTGGCACGCGATAGGTGCCCAATAAATGCACGTCTGTGCCTGGAAGTCCCAGGAGTGGCCAGATGTACACCCCTGTGTGTCACATGCACTGGGACATACATGCACACAGGCGGGCAGGATGGGTATGGGCGCAGGTGTGCACAGGAGGAAACCAAGTCGACCACCGAAAACCTGGCCCAGCCCACCGTCCCCCTCAAGAAGCTCCACAACCCAGCCAGGGACCCTGGTCTTGACCCCAAACTACGCCCCCACCCCCAGCCCTGCCGGCTCACCTGGTTCAGGGGTGTATCCATCTGCATTGATGGTGTCGATCCGTCTCTGAGGCAGAAGGGCACAGAGTCAGCCGCGGCCAGCAAGGCCTGAGCTGGGGACACTCAGCCTCTCCCGGGAGACCCGGTCGGCCGAGCACTCCCCAGAGGCAGTGCTGGGGGACCCACTTCCCTCCACGGCAGCCCCGGCCTCTATCCCACCCACATCCCAACTCCAGGTGCCGCCGACTCACGTGGGTGAACGTGGATGGGTGGGCTGGGAGAGTGGGAGCGGCAGCCCCTGGGGGAGCAGAAGGGGGAGTGAGGGCTAGGGGTCTCCTGCCGCTCCCGCGGCCCGCCCATGCCCCACCCACCCCTCGCACCTGCGGCGGCGCTGGCACTGCTGTTGGGGCAGGGCTCCTTCAGGCAATAGATGAGCCCATCGGCCTTCAGCTTCAGATATTCGACCAGCTGTGGGGAGAGGGTGGCTGGCAGCGGCTCCTCTCCTCCCCCAGAGCACGGCGTCCCCCCAGCACCACCCCCACACCCTACCTGCCAGAGCGTGTCAAACTTGGTCCCCTCAGGAATGCAGTATTTGCCCGCCTTGTCCTGGCTGATGAGGTAGTGGTACACCGTTTTCCCATAGATGAGGGACAGGGCATACGTCCCCTTCTCCTTCCGGGGCCTCAGCCTGGAGGGGGATGGTGGGTGTCATCCCTATGCCACGTGGCAGCCCTCCAACCGTGCCTCAGTTTCCCTCACATGCACACCCTAGCGGCTTCTCACCACCGGAGCCTCACAGGGACCGGGGAAGCAGAGGCCAGGCCCTGCTCACCTCTGGACCGTGGGTGGTGGGCCCGTCAGCAGAGGAGGGTGGAAAGGGCAGGGGCGGTGTTCACAGGGAAACACAGTCGCATCCAGGGCCAGACAGGCGGCCAGTCACAGGGGAATACTCAACCACCACAGCAGATACTCAGCCACCCCCAGCTGGAGCTCAGCCACAGGGAGGAACTCCCACCCATGGAGAAACCCCTTTTCCCCTAGGGCTGAACACTTGGCTGTCCATGGAAGACACCTGCCATCCACAGGGCAGGCACACAGCCATCAGGGGGACGCTCGGCCACACACCTAGCCAACCCAGGAGGGCTATTTGGCCATCTTTGGCAGACACAGTCTCCGACAAGTTGACTCAAAACCATTCACCTGGGGCGAGAACCACACGGGTAGGTGCAACTCCATGACGAGCTCACTGGGCACCTCTGTGTGAAACAGAACAAGTCACCTTGTCATCACAAGACTGACCAGTTATCGTCACAGACAGACCTTTGATAGAATAAGACCCTTGACTGCCCTCTGCTGGATATGTAGCCAAATAAATGCACAACTCGTCTGTGTCCATGATGGCAATTGAGCCCCCCTAAGAAGGTGCATTTGTGCGGTGAGAACCTGCCCATCCATTTCCACCAGCCCCGAGTACACACACACGCCAACTAAGGGTCAGACACCGGCACCCTCACATGAAACCCCACAGTGAAACCAGTCAGCATATCCCACAAAACAGTTTTGTTTTGGGTCACGGGCACAAGGTTCCATTCCGGGGTTAAGTGTAGGTTTCCAATGAGGAATAAAGGCACCTGGCCCTGGGGGTTCCTCGGCTGTGGAAGTCACAGAAGTCTGACCACTGACCTCAGGGATGGCACAGAGTCACAGAAAACTAGCAACTGGCAGGCAGCAGGAACTAGCCCTGGGGGTGGCCTGCAGGCAGACACCCTCCGAGAGGCAGATGCTCAGACAGGACTTAGGCCTACAGATGTCCATTCACTGGACAAACATTAGCTGAGGAGGGTCACAGGCCAGGCACCATTCTGAGAGCAGGGATATAGCAGGGAGCAAAATAGAGATGGACCCACCCTGCAATGAGGCCCTTCCTTAGGCCAAAGGAACAAGGAGCTATCCCCCAAGTGAGGGAGAGAGGGGCAGCAGTGACCCACCCGACCATTCCTCAACAGCATGTGGCGTCATTCCCAGGCTAGCCCACAACAGTCTGAGGATACACGGAAAGGGAGGAAACCAGGTGGGAGTGAAGAGGGAACACCAAAGCGCAAGGGATAGAACCCCACAACAAACCAGGAAACGTAAATGCCCTGCAGAGAAGATGCCACTTCCACAACTAGACCGGTGGGCTAGCCTGGAGATTATGCGCTCCAGTGACAAGCTCTCCTTTTGTGAGAAGTGAAAGCACCTCCTGCGGGTCACAACCTTAAGTTTTAAACTGACAACAGAAACTCAATGCCAAGCGCTTACCAGCAAGCCTCTACTCCTCTCCTCTCTTGCTCATCCATCTCGTTCTTTCTTCTGGAACTAATGATTTCCTCATTTTTTGTTTATTTAAATTTCTATGTGGAATATATTTTTAGGCCACAGTATCAGGCGGCTCTTCTCATTAACAGGTGGAGTCTGTTCCTCTATCTTCTGAATCAGGGCCCAACCACATGACTTAATGGCTAATAAGACGTTAGCAAACAGACACAAGCAGAGGCTCAAAAGGGCTTGAGCACGGAGGCCTGCCCTCTCTTGCTTTTCTTGACAACCCTGAAACCACCATGGAAATGAGTCCAAGCTAGTCTGCTAGAGAAGTCAAATGGAGGAGAACCAAGGCACCCAAGCCTTCCAACTGCCACTCCTGTAAGTGAAGCCACCCTAGGCCACCCAGCTCCAGCCGACCTTCCAGACGGCTGTGGGCACATGAGCAAGCCCAAGAAGCCAGCAGAAGAACCATCTGGCAGAACTCAGTCCAAATTGCCAACTGAATCAAGTGTGAATGAATGACTGTTGTTTTAAGTCACTGTTTCAGGGTGTGAATACAGCAGGTTGTTAAACAGCAAAGGCTAACTGATACACTGTCTTTGGGAAGACACATGTGAGTCCATAAAAGAGCAGCCACTACTTCCCAGATAATAACCATACAGGCTGACACTGGTGCTATCACCATGCATATTTCAGGGCCAAATTAATGCTTTATTTTTCCAAAAAACACTAGATGGTGGCAGTTCTTTGTTCTTGCAGTCGGAACTTTCCCTGAAGCTAGAGGTACAGTCTCAGGAATCAACATATCTCTACTCCCAAAATAATATGTAGAACCTGATAATGATGCTAAAAAATAAGAGCTAACATTTAGTAAGATATTGGTTCTAAATTCTTCACATAGTTGTCCTATGATCTTCCCAGCACTCCCCACATGTTGGTACTATTATTATCCCCATTTTTGCAGATGAAGAAACTGAGGCACAACATGACACCTCTAGCCTAAATTGGTAAGAGGCAGAGCCAAGGTCCAAATTCATTTCTGACTCTATGGTTAATTGCTACCCGGGACTGCACAGTTGAATCAGGCAGTTCCACAAAATGCTGCCAATTACACAGACACAAACCAGCTCTCGCAACACTCAGCTTTAGGGTCATTCCTCCACAACTCTGGACTGTGGTCAACGGGAATTGTGGTCCTGGTCCTAACCCTAGGCCTGAGTGACATGTGTCTTTCTATCATACCCTGAGCCCTTATCTTGGAACCAGACCAGTGGTGAGCTTGCCCCGCCCATCAGGATCTACCAGGGATATTCTCTACCCAACCTTCTGTGAGGGCCCATTGCTATCACTTTGACCTTCAGCCCCTGCCTATCCATGTGCTGAAAAGCAGTTATTGACTACAGGAACCACAGAAAGAATCTAGCACAGTTTCTGTCTGAAGTATGCCCCTGCCTAATTCCCCAGAAGTCTGGTTCCTGGAAGTGACTTCTGGTCTCTTAACACTTCCCTGGAATGAGTCACTGCCACTGTTGCAACTGTTTCTAGATCTCATGCCGTGCCCAGATCCTGGCTCCCCCTGCGGCTCCCTCCCACTGCCGGGGCTGGTCCCATTTGCCTCTGAGACTTCGAGGCAGTTTGACATCCACAGCACCAACAGCAGCTCAAAGCTGTTGGCCTGGTTTTCCTGAGATTCCTCTCATCTCGATAGACTGGTTAATTCTAAGCCTGCCGTGAACTCTTCTGTGTGATGCAAAAGTCTGTGAACTTTTCCTCTGGGTTGTGGAATTCTTTGTCACGCATGGTCATACGTGGAAGCTTAAGATATGAAACAGATGAAAGCCGAGCCAGAACGGCGGTGCAGAACCTCACTTGTCCAACCTTCCACTTACTCCTCCTGCCCCCCTCCCCCCAGAATATTCTGATACTCCCAGGAGGTCCTAAGCAAGCTAGGGGAAATTTTTTGAACCATTGGAGTGGCAGAATTATTGTCTGCACGTGTATGTGTGTGATTGCAGATGGAAAGGAAAGACAGAGGGGCGAGGGAAGGAGAGAGGAAGAAAGAAAAGCCAAGACAAGAGAGGCAGAGACTGTGTAGATGAAGAACTACAATGTAGACATAAAGGGGAACCAGATAAGAAGCCCAGGCTGTAAAGTCAAAGAAAGACAAACTCACATTTTATGAAGGAGAGAGCAGAGACGAGAGGGAACAGCCAGCTACATTAGCAGGAAGAACTGTGGGATCTCCCTCCACTGTGGCCAGCCTGAGGAGGCCCTGGACTCTCGGGCACCTGGCTGATGTGCATATGAGTGAGTAGGATATGAATGTGTGATGTGTCTGGGACTAAATGTTAGTAACGTCTTAGCAAGTGTCACACCGGGGAGGGATGTAGCATCTGGAGGAAGGTAGGTGACATACGGGCCAGCCACCCGCAAGGACTGGAAGATGGAGCCCTCCAGATGCACCAGAGGTGGGTCTTGCCCTGAACTGACAGTCCAAAAGGAAAGAAAAGCAGCCCCAACACTCATGTTTGCCACGCCCAGATCTTCAGGGCCACCCCCTTGTTCCAATCCTCTGCTATAACCATTTGCAAAAATGGCTATCTTCATACCTCTCCCTTGGGGAGCTCCATCCCCATGATGACTTTGGTTTTGGTCATGTGCTTTTTCTTTGGCCAATAGGACATCAGTAACATTACATAAGCAGGGGCTTGAAAAGTGCCTGTGTTCTGAAACTCGCCCTCTCGGACTGTTCTTGGGACCCTTGCAACTACCATGTGAGCCCAGGCCAGCCTGCTGGATGGTGACGGCACTGAGGCCAGCTCATCCCCATCACCCAGGTGACACTGAGCCAAGAGCCAGTCATATGAGTGTGACTGTTCCCATTTATCCAGTCCCAGCCCAGCCGACCCAAACCAGAAGAGCTGCTCAGCTAGTTCACAGAATCACAAGAAGTAAAAAACTTTTGTTCTGAGCCTGTAAGTCTTGGGGCTGTGTTATGTAGCAGAAGCTAACTGAAACAAATACAAAGATTTACTTTAGAGAAGACAGATCAATCTTAAGTTGTTCAAAAGTTATCCTTGCAGCCAAGTGTAAACTGTAATGTGCATTCAAGAAACCTTGGGAATTCCACTGTAATTTACAGCCTACATCTGTAGCAGAGGGTGAAAAATTGTTGTATCAGCCAACAACAGCATCTTGGGGAAGGAGCCGCATCTTGGGGGAGATCAGCAAGCAATCTGCTTAGGCCTCATATGGGTGGAAGAAATCAAGGGAAGTGGTCAATTCCTCCAAGTTGGTTGGCCCCAGAAGAGGGAACAGCCCTGGAAGAGGTGGGTGACAGCCAGGATTCCACCAGGCAGGGACTCAGGCCAGGAAGCACTCATGAGAAGGGAGGCCCCTGGAATTGTCCCCACAGATTTTGGGGGGGGAGAACACTGGACTCCCTGAGGTCATGAGAGAAATGCAGGCACCAGGTTTCTCTACATCTCGAGGCCTGAGTGACCTCAACTGACATCTGGATAACGTCTGTGATATAGAAGAACCCATGTCAAAACCAAAAAACCATCAGCCCCTAACAGAGTTTTAAAAACAGTTTTAAAGATGCTTTCACAATAACACCAATAGCCACATAGTCTCAGCTGTGGCTCCAATATATGCAGACACACATGCTCACCCTTACATAATAAGAGCTAACATTCAATGCATTTTTCGTATATTTCGTATATTTTTCGTGTAATCCTTATTACAACCCTCAGGGTAGGTCCCACCATCATCTGCAGGACCGTTCGAGGGAGTAGCTTTAACACCCTCCCAGGGATCCTACCTCACTTAGGGTAAAAGCCAAAGTCACCTCCCTACCCTGACCTCCTCCCATTCTCCCATTCCTGAGTTCCAGGCACCAGACTCCTCAATGTTTCTTGAGCATACCAAAAAAATTCCTGCATCCTGATCTTTGCACCTGCCAACCTGACTGCTAGAAGCTTCCACTGGGAAGCTGCCCAGCTTTCTTCTCACCCCTTCGCTTCTTCTCTCACAAGTCACCTTCTTGGGAAGGCCTCCCCGGCCTCCTAATCTCAAATTGCAACTCCTCTCCAACTGCGCACCCTAGCACTCAGCACCGTCTGACATCTTCCATATTTTATTGATTCATCTTGTTTTGTCTGTCTGCCTCATGAAGACAGGCACTTGTTAGATCCACCACCACATCATCCGTGAATGGCATACAGTAGGTATTGAGTAAATGTTTGTTGAATGAAGGAGAGGAAACTGTGGCGGGCAGGAGATGGGCTGCTTGCCGGAGGCCCACAGCCAGCAGGTGGCAGAAGCTGGATTCCAGCTCAGCTGGACCAAATCTGGAGGCTCTCCTAGTCACTGCCACTACTTTCCCAGGTCAAAGTCCCTTTGCACACCGGAAACGCACGGCCCACCTGCATGTGTGAGCACAGGCACACCTTCTCGGCTCACTCGCAGACCCTAGCCCTCGCCAGCCCAAATCCCAGGCCCCAGGCCCACATACAGGAACCTGCCGTCGGTCTGCGCCCCGGAATAGAGTTTGCGCTCGGCCTCCTCGCGTGTCAGGCTGCTGTGGTACCAGGGCATCCGCTCGTGGGCCGTGGTGGCGATGAGCTTCTCCACCTGGGGGGCCTGGTTGATGATGGCCTGCTCCAGGGCATCTCCCTAAGGAAGGAGGAGCGAGGAAGTTCTAGGTGAGTTGGGCCCTATGAGGCTACCGGAGCCCCCTTCCATCTCCTGGATCCTGCAGGTCACCACGTCCCGCAAGACCCCCGCTCCATCCAGGCACCCATGCGGGAGGCTGAAGACGGCCTTGGCCATCTCCAAGTTCCCCACTCCAATCCAGCCAGCGAGGGACCATGCCACAGGCTTCCGCTGGCCCCAAGGGCATCTCCAGCTTGGAAACCTAACGCAGGTCGTTGCAGGTCGTTGCGCACGCACTGTCGTGCTGCACAGGCTGTCTTCTAAGACTGCAGCCCTTGCCCCGCCTCTCCCATGGCCGCCCTAACCTGGGGCGCGCCATCCCCTCGGCCCTGCCCCCAGTCCCGGCTCGCTCTCTCCAAGCCCGGTGCACCCTTCCACCTTCTGGTCTGGCAGAGTGGCGCGTCGTAGCATCGCTGAGGCTGTGGAAGCCAGCGGCCACCCACGCCACCAAGACCAGGGCCCCATCCGTCAAGTAGGACTGGCTGGGGAAGCGGGCCTGTCTGGCTCCCCTGTGCCCCGAAGTCCCCGGGCCTCCCACGGCGGGCGTGGGTTCTTCCGCCGCCGGGCCCGGCGCTCTCACCTCCAGCCTCCACGTCTGGCGCACGTAGTCGCGCACCATGGCGTCGCGCAGGCCGTCGAAGACCCCGGGCTGCGGCTCGAGGCCCGACGGCCGGTTGCACGGCTTGCGCAGGTTGCAGGGCAGCCCGTCCGGGTCGCGCGAGTAGAACTCGCAGAGCTCGGCCGGGCCGCAGTGCGCCTTCCCGCCGGCGATGGCGTAAGTGCCGTTGAGCTGGCGCTCGACGGGGAAGTGGTGGAAGCGCAGGTCGTGCACCAGCGACAGCACGTAGCCGCCCAGCGAGCGCAGGCACTGGCGCAGCAGGAACAGCCCGTCGGCCATGCCCGCCAGCTTCAGGTGCTCCTCGGCCTCGGCGCGCGAGATGCTGCCGTAGAAGAAGGGCAGGTGCGCCGCGGGGTCCGGCATCGCCGCCGCCGCCCCGCCCCGCCTCGCCAAGCCTGCGGGTTGCAGAGGGGATGGGAGGCGCGTCAGGGCCAGTGCTACCTTCCCCCAGCCGCTTCCGCCGCGCCCGGAAATAGCGGGAGGGATGCCGCACGGAGAGGCGTCGGTGCCGCACGGCACAGATCGAGCAATCCCGGCCGCCACCCCCGCCCCCCGCCTTTTCGGAGGCGTCGTGCCGACGCCCAGGCGCCGGCACCCGGAGCCATCCGCTCATTCCCGAGACGCAGGTGGAACGCTTGTGTTAGAGGGTGCTCGGTGCTGGGGGATATGGATGCATCAGACAGACGTGGCCCCTCCCTGCCCTCCAGAAAATAACACTCGAAGGAGCTGGAGAGGTGTGCCAAAGAAGGAAAGATAACAGTTCCAGAGGGAGGCCAGGACTAGAAAGGAAATACGTACAGTGATACGAAGAGAGAGAAGAGGTTGCTATAGCTAGGATGGTCACCGCATTTGAGTCTCAACTTGTATTTGCTTGGATAGGCATCCAGAAAATAGCATTGATGGCCAGAGAGAGAGAGAGGGATGAGAGAGAGAGGGAGGAGTGGATGGTCAGGCCGATCCAGTTGACTCTTGTTATTCGCAGCAGTTCTTCAAAGTGAACATAGACATGGAATTAGCAAATACTGAACCGTTGCTCCTAGAGGAAATCACAGGGTGAAAGGTGCAGGAAGCGACCAGAGCGGCGGCTCCCAAAATGGTGCCGACACACCAGACAACAAAGGCCCTAGGTCCCGGCTTCTGTGAGCACTCTTCCCTGCACGTGGGAATTTCAAACCTTCCCGCGCGAATTTCAAACCTGCAAGCCTCCAATCCGTAGCCAGCTTTGTTATGCGTCCAATGGGACTATAACACGGTGTTGGCCCCACCCCGCTCCCATGCCGCTCCTCCAATAGGAACATAGCACGGCCCCTTCCGGCCGCTGTCAGGCTAATAAATACAGCCCTCTCCCCCGACATTCTCTCTCGTCTCTCTTTCTCTCTCTCTCTCTGTCGCTCTCTCCCTCTCTGCAGCTCTCGCCCCACCTCTCTCCCACTTCCTGTCTCTCTCTTACTCTCTCTTTCTCTCTCTTTTTCTTTTTTCCCATTACAGATCCCCTCTGTAACAGCCGCTTTAATAAATCTCTTGGTCCTGGCCGGGTGTGGAGTCATTACTGGCACCCAACTTCTTTCACAGGGTTTGGTTCCTGCAAGACTCTGCTTCCACATGTTCGCCAACCGGCCAACATGCAGCCTTGTTGGGTGTGTGTTTCTGTTGAAAGACGCGTTATTTAACGTGTATTGTTGATTCACTAACACTGAACTCTCAGCCAACAGCACACATGGGTTTCCTCCATAAGACGCGTCCCAGAGGTCTTGCACTTCAGAACCCAGACAACACTTCAGCACCACGCTCCAGGGGCCATTTTAAACAGGGAAATCAGCAAGAAAAAGCACAAAAATTGAACACACGGAGCGCCAAAGAGACTGCGAGGAAGACTGATTCTCAGCATGGAAGGTGAAGCTGGAAGGCAGAGTGGTCACTCTGTCCAGCCTCATGTGTATCAGGTGACCCACGCTATGTCTGAGAATGACCGGGAAAGTGCTGTATTAGTCTGGGAGTTGCAAATAAGTTTTAGCAAGTAGGTGAATTCACACATATGAAATCCACAAAGAATGAGGGTTGATAGTATGTGATAAAGCAAATCTAGCAAAATGTTAATTGCGGAATTCAGGGCATGAGGGATGGGTGCACAATTAATTCTTTTTTCTGTATGTTTGTCTTTATACAATGTTGGAAAAAATTACTTCTCCATAGTAGCTACCAGGTGTTTCTCTACTAAGGCAGGCCCAGCAAGGGCACTTGGGCATGAGTTTGTGTTTGGGGAGGGGTCCTGGGTGCCTTGCTTCTTATGCAAATGTAGCAGAGGGCATAATAAAAGCTTCTGTAGATTGGGGAAAATCTCCCTCTGCCCTGGGTGCCCAGAGACATGCAGGAATAGGCACAGGGACTCAGAGGAAGGTGCTGGTGTGGAAATCAGGTGAGGTCTGGGTTGGGATAGCTGAAGAAGGGGCCAGAATCTGCATTCTAACCAGATCAGTTCAAATGCTGGGGTTGGGAGAGACAGCCTTGAGGGGGGTCCTGGATGTCCCCACAATTCCAGACAGGTGGGTGCTGCGGAAATTAACAAGGGGCTGCACTTGTGCCCCAACCTGGAAAAGCAGGTAACCATTCTGTAAGAGTGTCTGAAAAGAGGTGTAAGGGCTCTTTTCAAACACACACACCAACTGACCAACGTGCAGCCTTGTTTGGTGTGTGTTATAGCAGTTCATTCACAATTGCGAAAGAGTGGGAATAACTTAACCTGCTTCCCAACTGCTGAACAGATGAGCTGTGGTACACACCCACAGTGGAATACCACTCAACAATTTGATGGAACAAAACACAAATATACAGGACAACGTGGGTGAATCTCAAAGGCGTCGTGCCAAACTCAAAAGGCTACAAACAGCCTGATTCCTCTCAAAACTGTGGTGGTGGAGCACACATCAGCGGTTGTTGGGCAGGGGCGGTGAGGTCTGACGACAAGGGATGTGAGGAAATTTTGGGGAATAGTCTGTATCTTGATTGAGATGGCAGTTTCTCAGCTGTAGGCATTTGTTGAATCTCAGACTTTTCATGAAGATGGTATATAAATTTTACTGTATGTAAATGATACCTCCATTTTTTAAATTAAGGGGAGAAAAGGAACTGGAAGGTATAGCCACACTGGGCACTAAAAATAGTAACTGAAATGGGAAACGTTACTGAGGGCTGTCTACACTCTTGTCTCCACTTTCTGGACTCCCGCCCTCTCATCCAGCCTCCAAGTCGGCTCCCCGTATCCCCTAGGCTGCCCTCATTACTGACATCACCACTGGCATCAGGAGAGTACTAGGTCCCCTGAGTGACGGACACCGGTGACCTCTCCCTGCTGCTTGAGCCTCACAGACCTCTCTGGCTCTTAACAAACTGCCTGGCTACCGACTCCCTCTCTGACCATTCTTGCTCTCTCTCTTTCCCCAGCCCCTGTCCCCTTACTTGGGTCATCCTGTCTGGGGCTACACATGCTGCCACACCCACCTCTCCCTGAGCCTCCCCATGCCCAGCTGTCTCCCTTGAGGTTGGTTTGTACTGGCATCATCTCCTTTGATCTCCACCAACTGTTTCTATTAATACAACCTGAGATTCAGATCTCACTCACATGGGGCCTGTGGTTGCCTGCACCCGACAATCTGTTTTCCACATGAACTGAGCTCGGGGGTCTGCAAGTTTCACCTCGGCAATTCTTCCCCAAGGCCTCCCTTGCTCGAGACCCTGCTGTGGCTCCCTCCTGCCCACCTCACTGGATCTAAACTCCTCTGCTCCTGCTGAGCTCTGCTACCCACTTTCCTTCACATTTACTTCCATAGTGTCATCCATGCAGTGCCCTCCCTTGGCGCACCTCTCTCCCTCCACCTTCCCAAATCCAGCCCCTCCTGGCAGATTCATGGAGGCGCTCATGCATCAGGGAGCAGGACCAGGCAGCAAGCTGGGGGCTTGTCCAGGGACCGTGGGGAGGGGTGGGGGTAGCGACCCTGGTCTCTGGGACAGGAAGCTGTGGCAGGAAACTGTCGGCAACACAGTTTGAGAAGCTCCGCCCCACGGTGGCCACAGGTGCAGCCTGGGTACCCGGAAGTGGGTTCCGGCAGAAGAGGAGACAGGGAGGCTGGCCCTCAGAGCCCAGGCAGGGGCCACAAGCCATGAATGGCCACCAAGACCCAGGGGTCCCAGAGGAAGGAGCTCTCCTGGTGTATCTCAGCCATGGTCCCTGTCCCTGTCTCACAGCCTGTCCCAACTGCCATAGCATAAGCAGTCCCTGCACGGGGCCAGGGGAGCCAACACCTCCCTGGCCTTGCATTGAAACGAGGAGACCAAGTTCCCAGGGACCCTATGGCCAGAGATGCGAGGGAGGCCAGAGGAGGTGGACAGAGGGGGTGGGAGATGAAAGACCCAAGAGCTGGGAACAGGCTCATTTGCCCAGGCAGCATCTCCACTGCAGGCCAGGCTGGCAGTGCCAGTCTGCAGCTTCCCAGTGAGAGCCCAGGCTTGGGCCAAGGACCAGACATTCTGTCTTCGTGGGCAGACTCGTGGCCCTTCTGGGAGACATACCCACCAGGAGACCTGCCCCAGCCCCCAGCCACCTGGGCTGAACCAAGGGGCTCTCTCCAAGGGCACAGGTGGACTTGGGTTTAGGAGTCCTGACTCAGTCCACCCTCTGCCTCGCCTCCAGGTCCCCTGGGCTGACCCCACCTGGCATCCTCTTGAGCTCACAGTTCAGAGCCTAATGTGGTCTTTCCAGAATTCACATCCCTGCTGGATAAGGCCAGAGGAAGCTGTGGGCCACCAGTCTTGTTCTCACAGCCCAGACCCTGGGAGGAGGAGGAGAAAACCTTTGATCCTTAGTCAGAAGCATCTGCCTGAAATTCCACAATTCAAGTGTCCTCCTTGGGTACAGGCAGTTTTAGATGGCATCTGCACCAGAGAGGCCTGATACCCCAAACATACTTCAAAGGAAAAAGGAGTCAAGGGGTCGAACACATTTCCAGCACTGTGGAAAGCATAGTAAAGGCTCTGTGGAAACCTACGTGGAACAAGCCCTTGGAACTTGGTTTAATTCCCACAGCATTGTGCACGGCTTTGAACGTCTCCAATTTCACAGAACATACTCTGAGCATCAAAAGCTCCCATCAAATGCCCATCAGGAGAGTCCAGAGGGGAGACTGAGGCAGTCACACTGTAGAGGGATACTGTCGGCCTGACTGGGCGTGGTGAGAGGGGGCGGGGCAGCCCAAGCTCTGCTCTGCAGGCTACATGGGCCACCCTCAGCCAGAGACCAGACACAGCCCCACCCAAAGTGCTGCTGGTGTGAGGCTGGGCCTCCCAATACCACACCTCCCTCTACCCACTCGCCCCC